CGCCTCTTATCCTTGGAAACCAGAACAAGAACCAATAAATATTTATAAGGATTGTACAAACGTTACATTGATGGATATTTGTTATTATAGTGCATTTGTGAATGAACCACTGGTATGCAACGAATCATCCATGTTCGAAGACGTTCAACTACAGCCAACTAGAAATTTGGCTATTAATTTTAATCAAACTTTTGAGCATAGACCCATAAGACTGCTAGAAGTACGAGAAAAACAAGAAGCGGAGCTAGCTCAGATATATCAAGCACTCGCTACGGCCAAATGCAGAGACATCGTAAATTTAGAGAGATTGGAGACATTGGGTGATTCGTACCTTAAGTTAATTGCTTCCATGTATATATTTTTTAAATTCCCTTCTCTAAATGAAGGCGAATCTACTGTACTGAAGGGTCGTTTGATAAGCAACAGGAATTTGTTCTACCTTAGCCGTGATAAAGGCTTGGGTTCTCTGGTGAAGGTGTCTGATTTCTCGCCGACGGCCGAATGGCTACCACCCGGTTACTGCGTTCCATCCGAAATCACCAAACTAGTCTTGGACAAGCAACTGCCGATAACAGCTTTATTCAATTTTTGTCCTAATCGTGACGAACAACTTTCGGGCCAATTGAGTGATGAAACATTTAAAATGCTGGAACCACACAAATGCAACGTCGACGATGATTTGGATAAGAGCAGTTTCAGTTCGTTCTGCAATTTTCTGGCTAAACAATCTATAAGAGATAAAACCATAGCTGACGTTACTGAAGCTCTAATCGGAGTTTACTTCAGTAGCTGCGGATTCGATGGTAGGTTTTTATAGTAAAACATTGTTTAATACATCAATTAAATTATTTTTTTCTCGTAGGTGCTCTGAACTTCATCGAATGGTTGGGACTAATACCAAAAACTGAAGAGATTGCGAAACTTTTCAAGCAACCCCCATTAAATCCAATCGTGAATCCGAACGCGACTGAAGCAAATTTGGATATTCTTCTAACAAGGTATACTCAGAAATCTGTGGAGGATATAATAGGGTATAAGTTCAACAATCGAGCTTTCCTGTTGCAAGCCTTAACGCATGGTTCGTACTCAGCGAATCGCATTACTTTATCTTACGAACGTTTAGAGTTCATCGGAGATGCTGTCTTGGATTTTCTGATCACCACATACATCTACGAGAACTGTGAAAATTTAGATCCGGGCAAGCTTACCGATTTGAGATCGGCCTTGGTAAACAATGAAACGTTTGCAGCGTTCGCAGTAAGACTGAACCTTCACAAACATCTAAAATATTACAGCTCTGTGCTTAACAATCATATACAAAAATTCGTCAAGTACCAGGAGGCGAAAGGAAACGTTGTCAATGACGACGTATTGATTTTATTGAATGAGACAGACTTAAAACTTGTCCAACACGTTGATGTTCCGAAAGTTTTGGGCGATATCTTCGAATCCATGGTGGGAGCGGTTTACCTGGACAGCGGTATGGATTTAAACGCTGTGTGGAAGGTGGTTTACAAAATAATGTGGAAGGAAATATCGCAATTCTGTGCGAATATTCCGAAAAGTCCAATTAGGATCTTGATGGAAACTCTAGCACCGCTTTATCCGACATTCCAGTAAGAATGATACTCGATGATAAATAAGTTTTCGTAAAATTAATGTTCCCTTTAATATTTTTTTAGCTCTGCTGTTAGTGTGGGGGGCGAAATGGTGATGGTGAAATTGGATTTCATGCTGAGAGGAAGTCTGACGAGGGTGCACGGCTTCGGACAAAACAAGAAGGGCGCCAAGAAAGCTGCTGCCAAGATCGCACTAAGGCTATTGACTCCAAAATAAAAAGTATAATAATCATATACTTATTTATATTATAGAAATCATTTTTTGTTACAAACATACATATATAGATATATATACATATTTTATTTACTGAGTTTTTCTCTTTTTCGACGGTTTCTCGAACACCTGCCGAACGCCTCCGGCCTGAGACGCGTGGAATTTCAAGTTTTGAGCGGTCTCGCTGGACCAGGGCGAATCGAACTGCGTTGTATCTTGGTCGACCAGATGTGTATACTTGGTGCGCCCGGAGCGACCGAAGTTTTTCACTTGCATGACTTTCGGGAATACGGTCTTGTCGAAGTGATCCTCTAAAGTTGCTTGTGAGAAATCCCTCTTATATACATCGTCTTCGCTGTCCAGATAGAAAGCACCACGATGATAGTATTTCTGCAAGAACTTATACTTTCCCTTCGTTGCCTTATTGGTGACCGTCCTCGGGTTCATTCGTAGCTCCGCCCTACGCTCCTCTTCTGTCAAGTTTCGCAACCGTTCGATCTCTATCCTTTCCTTTTCCACACTGCAAGAGAATTCTCAATACGTTCAACGTATTCTTTATTCGCAGTCAATTCACTCAGATCAGACGCACCGATCGTTACTAAAATCTCCGAATCCTCGTTAGATTTCCTTCTCTTTTGCATAGCTTCTTCAACGACGTCAGTTTCATAATGTATAATATTCATGTCCACTTTCAGCGGTTCCCAATTTCTATTTCCTGGTAACACATCCACCTCTCCAAGATTTGCTTCGAACGAGATACGTTGACGTAGGTGCTCCGCTCGAAGTAGTTGCGATATTCTGTGCAGGATACTTGGTAGTAACTTTGACTGCAGCCAAAGGCAACCGGGCACATCTTGCTTGGTGCAGAGCTCAGGAATCAAATGCATTTCCGTATCCTCGAATTCGGCTTCTCTGGTACGTTTCTTGCTATTTCCGCGCGGCATTAAACAATTCAGACGTGACGATATTGCTTTCACCTTTAGCAGTGGTTGATTGGGATACATAATATTTGTATCGTAATATTTCTCCTCGAAATAATCTTTGTAGGTAAGGAAATCCTCATTGGGAAATTTACTATCTGCACTCAGATATTCGCAAACTTCAAGCACGACATACTGCTTATCTTCCATGCGATACCAAGGAATTACGATATTTCCCTTATACTGATCAAGGTTCTGCATATCTAATACTAACCGATCACCTGATTTCGGTACAACCGAAAAATCTTTAATGGATTTATACGTATTGATCACCTCAAAATCAATGTCTTTACTATTTTTGTTAACTGGAACCACGTACATGTTTTTGCCTCCATCTCCAATCACCAAAAATCTCTTGATGATATCGACTATATCGTTGAAGATTAAATGATGAAACTCTTGAATTTTGTTTATTTGACCATCCTTAAACTGGTACGTACGTTGGTTGATTTGCAGATCAACTCGTATTTCGCCGCATCCCATAAAGAGCGGAAACTGGCAAATATCTGGTAAAGGAGTCGCTGTAACGATTCCGAACGATAGATCGTTCGTATACAATTCCGCAAAAACTTGTTTAGCCAAGTCACTGGCAGCATCTTGAAAAACTGGAGTCAGGTTGATGATATGTAAATAGCATCGATCCTTAATGCTATATTCTAATGCTAAAGGCACTCGCTTATCATAGACTCGCCATTTACCATGACCCGCATCGTTCTCTACTGTCTCTGGCCAATGAGCGAACAAAAATTTCGTCGAGTCGAGCACACTTTCTTTACGAACTGGAATCAAATTGTCGTCTAGCAATTTCATTTGATGCAATATCAGACACGCCGTGAACGCAGCCAATCTCTTCGCATCATTTTTATTGGCCGTAAAGTCACCCTGAAAGTACAATAATTAGTTTATTATTTGATTAATCGTTTTACCGTCGCATTACCGCAATACGATCCTTTATAGGGCATAACATTGGCATCTCTATCAAGACACGATACTTTGTAGTAAAGTTTTCAACTTGTTCATCCAAATAGAAGATTGGATCGTATAAGGTATACGAATCAGACGGAAGAGATTGACAATACATCATCAGCAAAGGAATCGCCGATATCAATGTCACACAGGCGCTTCCCGGTCCATTCACGTAATACGGTTTGATCTCATTATACATATTTTGGATTTCCTGCTGAGTTGGATTTCTCCTTATGTCGTTTTTCCCAATCAAGTACTATAACAAAACAAATACAAACAATACAATATTGCCATATTTTATTTTTCATTAATATTACCTTATTTATTTGCTCTTGAATATACCTATAGTTGATGTAAGACTTCTTGAACTGTTGACTCACATCACTATTAACCATTATGTAATAACAGCTTGTATTATGTCTAGCTCGACCCTTAGATTGGACGTACTCTCTGTAATTCGTAGGATGATCAAATTTGATTACTACAGTGCAGGTGGGCACATCGATGCCCTCTTCGATAACGTTGGAAGCAATCAGAAGGTTCACTTCCTTGTTTTGAAAACTGTCGATAGCCTTCTTATTCATTTTCGTTATGTACAGAGGCTCCTTGGTTGACTTCATCGCTTTCGCTGTGAATCCAAATATGAAGTCTGGCCTGATGAAGTCAAAATTCTTAAAATACTTCAACATATCCTGCAGGATGTGATAAAGGAAAACTGCGGTATTTCGACGCTGAACAAATATGATACCACACATTTCCTCGTTTGACGCCTCTTTATGATCTTGCAACAGCTGCACCAACCTCAATACCTTCTTTGAAGAGTACTTTAGTAAACGAACACTGCTCATTGTGTCGCCCATTTCTCTCTGGAACATATCCTTCAGATCTGTGAACAAAGAGATCATCGACTCCAGCAGCAACCGCTCAATCGGATTAGTGGCTGTACACATCTCAGAATTCAAATTGACCAAATAAGAGATGAACGCGATGTACGACCCGCCAATTCCCAGAAGTTCAACATGGTATGCTGCATCTAAGCAAATACATGCATACTTCTTGTACAAGCTCTTGTTTTCTAGAAAACGCAAATTGGAAGGCGCTTCCTTGGTTGTTTTCATTTTTCGTATCTTTAAATCCAAGCTATTTAATTTGTTTATAGCTATTTGCTGCAATTCCGTCAACTCATCAGATACGTAGGGGATCAAGTCCTCCTGAGGATTTGTACTGAAACTGATACACACAAATAGATACAAAATACTATACTTGATTAAATTTAAAGTTTACCCTGCAATAAAATCAATGTGATCGACGGTGGCAACTCTGGCGTGAAAGGTAGTTTCCAGCTTCTTAATTTGATCTAATACTTGATGGCTTTTCACATTACCATTCAATAAAGTTGCAGTTAGACCAACGATACGTGGAATCGCGGCAGAAGACTGGAAAAGAATCATGATTTGCCGCATGGCATGATCATCAACTCCCCTGTGACATTCGTCAAAGATCATCAGGTTTATTTTGGTCATATCTGAAGACAAACATAGAATATTAATAGTGGTTCGATTACCTATCATAGTTTTAATTACCTATAAAACTGCTTTGAATATTATTCAACAATATTTGAGGAGTCATTATAAGAACATTATGTTCATTGTATTGCTTCAGCCATATATCATGGCTCCAAAAGTCCAGGCCCATGCTTCCAATGTAATGACCAACCTTAAATGGAGTGTGCAATTCAAAGTACTTTGCATGCTGCTGGACCAACGCCACAGTATTTGCAATAACAATACTAATTTTTCCACCATCACTATAACACCTGTTAATTTTATTTAGAAATTATTACGAATGTTTAGTATTTTATAGAAAGTAGATATTACAGAATGCAGTATAACTTACTTTTCGAAATCATTTTTAGCGAATTCCTTGAGGACACACACCGCTATGAAAGTTTTCCCGCTGCCAGTAGGAAGAAATATTATGGAATTTCTTTCGACAGCAATCTTTATCAATTGATTTTGGTAACTTCTAGGTACGTAATCGGGCTTGTCCATGATGAATGGCACTGGAGCGACTGTAGGTTATTCCAACCAAATCCACATTCGCATAGATTTAGGTAATTCCCCTGCTATATTGTGCAATAGTTGACACTTTAAAATAGAAAATAATATTATTAACATTCTGTATACCTAAAACGACCACAAACTTCCTTACCTCGTATGCATATGCGTCATGCAATATTATTATTTACAATATATCAGCTGCCGGCACTAGTAACACAAATCCCACAATGCACATGCAAAAAACATTGTAGTGCATTGTGGAAAATGAAAAATTCCACTTACTTTTATAAATACGTTGCTGCCAACACGAAGAAATAATAGAAATTATGAATCCTCTGAATACGTTCTTGCTTTAATGCAATGTAGCCAACCCCTAATAACAAATGATATTATATAAATGATATTTGGTCTGGGTCTATATCGA